GGCTACTCAAATATTTTACGTTTTTGATACTAAATTAACTTCTGAAGTATAATTTTTTATTGTTTTTATATTTTTCAATATATTTATTTTGTTTGTACAAAATAAAAAAAAAATTTTTAACGATACAATAGTCTTTGTTAGGCTTAACATCGACGAAAATTCAACACGAAGTGACACGAAACGGAGAAAAATGTCGAGATGGGATAAATTAATATCAGTTAAATTAATATCATACATAATCGGTTATCCGAAACATCGATCTTCCGAACCACCCCAGTCCCCAATTGATTCGGATAATCGACGCTCTACTGTATATCATTCTATATTCTAAACCAAAATAGATATATTAACTTGTTAAAATTCATTAATTATTACTAAGATAATTTATTCTATACTTATATTTTTAAAATTTTCCAGACAGATACCCAATGTAAATTCCAAAATGATGACAAATAAAAGCAATAATAATCATAATTTTAAGAGGGATTCATGGAGAAGGATGAATGGAAATATTCAATTAGAGAGGTAAGCGTAATTAATCATAAAATATATTAAAATCATAAAATTTATATCTAACAGTCTGTACACTGAATTTTATTTAGTGATTCTAGTGAAGATGATGATGAAAAAACAGATATCGGAGGTAAAGATTTATCCTGTAATTAAATATATTAATGTTTATAAATGTGTATATTTGATTTGATAGATTATGTGTAATATTAAAATAAAATACAAAAGTTTCTAAATTACACTGGCATGCAAAATGTAAGCAATGATGTACTGATAATGCAAAACTTAAGCAGCAATGATATGATTTCATGGCTGTCTGCTTAAAAAAGCAGACAGCCATGAAATTGTAGAAAAAGGCTTGCTGCAATCAGTACAATGAACACCCAATTCAGTAGAAAAGTGATTCGTTTGCAGGAAGAAGACATCATAAGTCACGTGAGGGCATGCGCAGTGCAAAACTACAATAAAAAGAAAGCTTTGATTTCATACCATATGCATTCTATTCATTTTTGTGCTAGTATGCTTTCCCCATCCTTTAATTACAAAATAATGTCTTTGTATTCTGAATTTCATGTCTCCCAGGTGATTTTCTTGCAAAGTTACATAGGAACTGGGGAAAGAATTTAAAGATAAATAATCTATATCTTAAAATTACTCCAGTAGGTATTTTTAATAAATAAATACGTTTTTGATCCAGTCGATGGATCTTTGTCAGTTGTAGAATACAGTTTAATGAATAGAACAGAATAAAATTTGAATTTAACGTTAAAGTATAAGCATTTAAATTTTATGTTGTTTAAACAGAGTACTTTAAATCTAACATTGAAATGAAAGTAAATAAATTAATTAAAAATTTAAAATACAAATAAAATATAAGAAAAGAGAGCAAAACAAAAATTAACATTAAAAATAAGTCACAACAAAATATTTAACAAAGTAAGATTTCAAAAAGCAGTTTCTGCACAGCAGATAAAGAGTCGGCATCACGGAAGTAATGCAGTCGAGCTTTCTATTAGCCTTGTAAATTTCTAAGACCGCCAGGTGTTGTAGGCTATTTAAATCATTCATAGGCCTATAACTTGAGCGTCACCCCAAGAGACCTCCATGCCATATTTGTTCATAAAAGTGTAAAGAGCTGTGTTGCTTAGATCTTTGCAGGTATTTTAAATTTCTATTTTATTTATTCACTTTTATTATTTATAAATTAACACTAAATTTAAACAATATTCTACAACTGATAAAGATCCATGAAGTGGAACAAAAACATTTTTGTTTATTAAGAATACCTGCTGGAGTAATTTTAAGGTGTGGATTATTGATCAGTTTGATTTATTTGGTTTTGTAAAAAATTTCCATTCTTTCATAAAAAAAAATTAAAAGATAACAAAACGTTTAATACATAATAAGAATATACATATATATACGTTATATAATATAATATATAATATTTTATACTGTATAACTTCCAAAATTCCCATATTTCAAATACTACCTAAGATGATAGTTTATGTATAAATTATGCAGACTATAAACTATTAAAAAGTTTATTAATTTTTGTATATTGAAGCCAAAATATTCTATCAACGAATTAAAAAAAGTTTATGGTTAAGAATAAATAAATATTCATATTATAATTAAATGCATTAGCTAGAGAGGTGTGTTAGGAAAATAAAACTTCATCTGATAAATAGAGAAAATGTCAAACTTTTATTTTATTACAGTTTTATATCGATCTAGCGAAGTAAAACGACTGCCAACATATCACAAAATGAAAACAATTTTATTCTAAGCCGCAATCATGAAAATAAACAGCACGACCACGTGATCACTTTGAATGATGTCTTTCCATTTTACTTGATTAAATTTTAAATTAATTTTTCTTTCCCCCCTCTTTAAATTTCCACAATGGAGCAAGTTTTTGAATAATTTTANTGACTTGAATCATTTATTAAAACTAAACAGTTTTTCTTCATAAAAAATTAGTTATCATCTGAAAATTTTCATTAAAAGTTGAAAATAATCTATCTTAACATTTGTTAAGTAATTTTAAACTAGATTCATTGCATTTATTCATACATTAAAAGTTTTTTTATCTCTTTCCTTTGTTTAAAATGGAAGAATAATTAATTATCATTTAAGTTAATATCCATAAATAAAAATTAAACAAACATTTCACGACAAACAGGAGGATTAATATCCTATCACAATGAATTAACTTGGGTGTTTGGTAATTAGAAAATTTATCAGAATATTTTACAAAGTTTGCATAAAAAGTCACACGAACTTTCTAACCCAGAAGATAAATTGAGTAACAATAATTTATGCTTTGCTTCAGCTATAAATGGAAGCCAGACTTGTTTCTGATGTACATCATTTTACAATGAGAAGTCTGGATAACTTAAAGAATAACAATATACGAAAAAATTTATTGTANAAAAAACCGTTATTTTTAATTATATTTATTAAAATTAATTTATAATTAAACATTTTTCACAATTTTTACATATAAGTAACATTTACGCATCGTCTTTTCGTCGCCATGTTTGATGGCGAGCGAAGTTTGCTGGAATGTAAATTAAATTAAATTTAAACGTTAAATATTTATATGTAAACTTTTTCTTTGTTACAATGTATAGATTAGAAGGAAAAGAATAAAGTATACTCTTTAGAAAATTTACAAAATTTTAAATTAATTTGACACTAAAATAAATCACCAAAAGAATTACTTCCTACGTTGAATCAATAACATTGAATTAAATTCGTTGTGAATGTTTAAATAAAATTTACATTATTTAAACAAATATATAACCTGATTAAATTTTTAATAAACAGAATAAATGAGTTATTTTTTTATTAAAAATGTGCATATATATATATATTTTAAAAAAATAAAATAAAAATGTTTAAATAATTCATGCTCGTCGCTTCTCGCGCGCGTCGCGACATTGATTTCTTTTAACGACGCGACGCTTTGAATCATGAATTAAACATGATTTATCCTTTTCTTCCCCCTCATACATTTGATAAATTTCTATTAACTTCGTTTGAAATTTAATATTAAAAGATAATAATTTAAATTTCTGGAGAATAAAATCTTTTCTTAAAAAAATAATAATGATTTTTGCTGCATTGTTATTAATTTTAAATGATTTCATATTTAATTACAATTAAATGAATTTCCATGCAATTAAATATATTCAATTTCGCATAATGTAAAATTTTTTAATTATAATTAAATATATTATTACAATTTTTGCTCAATATAATTTTTTGTATTATATTTTGTGTTTACATTTAATTAACTTTTATTTAATAATTGGTATTAAATTCTAATTACAATTACTTTTTTAATTACATATTTTCTGAAATTCGATAAGACAAATGACTAATTTTAATTATTTTTTTAAAATATGAATTTAATTTTATTACTCAATTAAATATTAAAAATAAATCAATAGTTTAATGTAATTAATAATTAATTGAGTTTACATACAAAGTATAATT